TTCATTGTATTCATGACCTTGGATGGTTTGCCCGCAGATCTATCTGGCGGATATTGAGTCCCAGACCCCTGATGGCCAGGAGTACGTGCTGGTCAACAAGCCCTTCAATGGGGACGAACACGCTGGCGACAAGCTCTGCGTGACCTTCCTCGGACACGGCACAGGTGACATCACGCCTAGTGCCACGCTCACCATTGAAAACATGCCCGATGCCACCACGCCGATACCGACCAGCCCACCTACGACCACGCCCACCACACCATCTACCACGGTCACATTCCCTCCAGGATACAGTGAGTACCGCGTACATTGTAACCGCCATCAGTATCAGTACCCAATCTCATTAGGATCGGACTACTTTGACGACATAACAACCCTTATAAGGAGTTTAACCCTCAGTCCATGTGAATGATGTCTGTATCCTTCAGTCACTCATGTTCGAGCTTTCTGAATGACTCGGCTTTTTTCTTTACCACATCGGAATTTCGATTTCAGCAATGGAACAATACACACATATTTCTTCAGTTGGACGCCCTATTAGGTGCAGATGGCATGGTGCCCACGGTGTGAAAACAACTAGCCGCATTATATGTCAACCTTCATAACTATCATTCGGATAAGGGTTATCAAACGGGCCGTTACAGAGGTTATCAGACGGGGTGTTACAGAGATTATCAGACGGGGTGTTACAGAGATTATCAGACGATATGAGAGATTATATAGATTATCAGACGGGCTGTTACAGAGATTATCAGACGGGCTGTTACAGAGGTTATCAGACGGGCTGTTACAGAGGTTATCAGACGGGCTGTTACAAAGGTTATCAGACGGGCTGTTACAGAGATTATCAGACGATATATACAGACACTTTGAATATAGATTATCAGACGGGTTATTACAGAGATTATCAGACGGGTTGTTACAGAGGTTATCAGACGGGCTGTTACAGAGGTTATCAAACGGGCTGTTACAGAGGTTATCAGACGGTTATCAGACAGGTTGTTACAGAGGTTATCAGACGGGTTGTTACAGAGGTTATCAGACGGGTTGTTACCAGGTTATCAGACGGGTTGTTACAGAGGTTATCAGACGGGTTGTTATCAGATGGGTTATTACAGAAATTGTTACAGAGGTTATCAGAGAGGTTGTTACACAGGTTGTTACATCAGACGGGTTGTTACAGAGGTTATCAGACGGGTTGTTACAGAGGTTATCAGACGGGTTGTTACAGAGGTTATCAGACGGGTTGTTACAGAGGTTATCAGACGGGTTGTTACAGAGGTTATCAGACGGGTTGTTACAGAGGTTATCAGACGGGTTGTTACAGAGGTTATCAGATGGGTTGGTACAGAGGTTATCAGACGGGCTGTTACAGAGGTTATCAGACGGGTTGTTACAGAGGTTATCAGACGGGTTGTTACCAAGGTTATCAGACGGGCTGTTACAGAGGTTATCAGACGGGTTGTTACAGAGGTTATCTGATGGGTTGTTACAGAGGTTATCAGACGGGTTGTTACAGAGGTTATCAGACGGGTTGTTACCGAGGTTATCAGACGGGCTGCTACAGAGGTTATCAGACGGGCTGTTACAGAGGTTATCAGACGGGCTGTTACAGAGGTTATCAGACGGGCTGTTACAGAGGTTATCAGACGGGTTGTTACAGAGGTTATCAGACGGGTTGTTACAGAAGTTATCAGATGGGCTGTTACAGAGGTTATCAGACGGGCTGTTACAGAGGTTATCAGACGGGTTGTTAAACATGGACCAAACACAATTCGTTTCTTAGCGCAATAAGCAATGAATATCCTGAAAACACCAAAGGTCGGCCTCCTTTCATCCACCCTAACCATGCTTTTGTCACGGAAGAAGATTTGATCAAAGTGTTTACACATATGTCAATAACAACTTTCACAACCATTTCAGATTCTTTGCCGAACACTTGACATTTTCTAAAAGAAGGATCATATTATAATTCGGCATATATTTACACATATTGATTCTCTTTTAATGCAGATCCGTTCTGTGAGGTAGCATAATGGTTAAAGCGTTCGCTCATTCCCCACATGGGTACAATCTGTGAAGCCCTGTTCTGGTGTCCCCCGCCGTGATATTAGTGGAATATTGCTAAAAGTGGTGCAAAACCATACTCACTCACTCACTCATTCCGTTCACAAAGACGCTTTATATCTCCAAATACATATTGCGAATAACTTGCATGTAGTGAGTGTCAGCTGGGTTTAGCGCCGCCATGGGGAGTATTTCAATGCTTTGATGTTGGAGGGGAGCGGATGTAGATGTATCACTGAGGTAAACCCATGAGGATTGTGCTCACAAACCTAGAAGCATGTTCAGTTCCAGCCTTGGATTCAGGATGTGGAACTGCATCAGTCTGAAAGTCAGGATAACCCTTGCCATATTGTCACTCAGAACATTTCGTGTGTTTTCGTTGCAGCGGGTACACGAACTCCACCCACGACCGAGGGTACCACACAAACAACACAGGAAGGCTTTAACATAGGTAGGTCTTCCGTTATCTCTTTAAGGCATCAGTGACACGAATGATCCCTGCCGTAATATGGTGTTTGGACTTGTTCCGTGTCAGGTGACTTACCGTGCATGTGATTGTGACCAAGCAGGATACGCATACCTTCACGAAACACCTATTGTCGTAACTGTTTCATAATGATTTATAAACTCGTCGGAATCACACTCTTGATATTTAGAAGTAATTCCTTTGTTTGTTACTACAGAAATACAATAATACATTGTCTTATACAGAGCCAGACAAATCTGGTAAAACTTACTCTGCATGTAACCTACACTGATCTCACAGGCGTGTTATGTGAGTTCCCTACATCTTATAACCCACCTATTACACGTCATACATCGAACTGCATGGAACTATTTAGGCATACCATTTTCAAGACCGTCAGTGAGCCTTGACTCAGAAGCCAACAGCCCCTTGTGTTGGGCACTATATATACTGACAGTCCCTTGTGTTGGGCACTATATATACTGACAATCCCTTGTATTAGGCAATATATATACTGACAATCCCTTGTGTTAGTCACAACATACACTGAAAGATTATGTTTGAACTTAGAACCTGATAGAGAACTCGAGTAGAGAACTTGAGATAAACTGTACTTTCGCATATGTCAATAACACTGAAAGTTTATAAATACATCTATGGACCTAATAGACTGTTACTAAATTCAAGACGTTTAAACCGTCATGTCATTGACAATCACACTTAGTCTTTGTAAGTACTTGAATACATTCGTATAGCAGGTGCTCGAAATTACCCTAATGGATTGATGGGAGTCTCGAAGGTATACGAACACTCAAGTTCTGTGTGATGTTTGGATGTTTTGTCTGAGAGTAACAGCCTCCACCGAATACAGAAATAATGTTTCCTCCTCACCTGCTCCATCACTACACATTTGTATTCATGCTGAGTTCTTATAAAATCTATAACGTTCAGTTAACAATGGAATGCTTCGTGGAGAGCTATGGCCGCATCACTAACCACATGTGTAACATCCTTACTTTAACGTTTGAAACTTAAGATTAAAGTGGAATTTCAACGGCAGATGACAACCGAATCTATGCAAGCAGTTGCTTTTAAAATTTGTTTTCGATTGATCTGTTTTTCTGCGTATGCCAAACAAATGTTAATAGAAAATCTTTGCAACAAATATCAAGCGTGACATTCAGTGGGAAATGGACATACAAACCACTCGCAGACCCTTTCACGAGTGAAGCACAGGTAATGAAATTACGACTGTCACTTTTCTAGGGTAGTTTCTTTCGGTAAACACCCGGTGTCATCATTGTTTTTATTGGTCTATTCAATATGGCTTTCACAGCTATTTTGCTCGTTACACCATGAGGCACCTGTTTCTGGGGCCAGTCAAGGTGTCCTTTTCCCAAGGTGTTCTGAGTATTCTATTGCATTTACGTTCTATGTTGCCGTTGTGTTCCCTTGACGTGGGGTCGAATCTCAGAATCTCAGATATATTTTTAGGTTTGTCAGCACCATACCTTTGCTGACAGTTCAGCTACGTGTTGAACCTGTTATCAATGCATTACTTGGGGCGTCTCCCAGGCATTCAGTATCTGTAAGATAGTGCATGAACCGAACACTGAAATTCCGAGGGACATGAATTGACCACTGACTGGGTGATCACGAACACCGTAAGAAAGCCCTGCAGTATCCGCCATCAACACAGTTACTATTTATCGTCTAACGGCTAACATAACTTAATCTAGAAGTACTGTTGCTATGCGGTATGTAACACTAGTCAATCAGGTAATCAAAATATAGTCCTGAACTCGATAATGTGTCTACTGATTTTGTTGAAACTAATAAAAGCGATAAGGTAACTTTGAACTATGTATAAGACCAGATATGTTAATGGCAAGAATCTCAGGAGCAACGCTGACGATGATGTAGCGTAGCATTCATTGTCACAGGCCAAGGCGCGAGATTCTGCTGTCGAAGCACCGTCCACCATATACACACATTGATGGTGCCCTGGGGGGTACGGGCATAAACATGTGTTCACTGTTTTATGATCATGTGGTGGTTCTGTTTATTACATAATGGATACTGTTACCTATACGCCAAATAAATAAAACATGATACCTACAATTGACTTCGGAAATGCGGACAAACATTTAACAAGTTCCATTCATCGGTCCCCCGCTCACTGACTCTATTGTTCCCAGGTGAGTATATAGAAGTTTCCAGTTTATGAGTGTATCTAAACCCTTGTTTAGATGAACATCCTTCAGTTCATTTGGCACTATATAAGAACGAGCTGTTTTATTCCTTTTATTACCGCCTTCACCATGCTCGTATTGTTTTCTGACCGACTCACCCACTCACCCACTCATCCACTCAACCGCACAACCGCTCAACCACTGCACTCACTCACTCACTCACTCGCTTTGTTTCAGTGACTGCCCCGGCCTTTGTTTCAGTGACTGGGAGAGTCCATCAATGCCGTCCTGAAGGTAGCCAATGACTGGGGGAACAGGTTCGAGGCCGAGTTCGACTTCCCTCTCACCCAGGACGTAGAGGGGTGGGAGGCCGTCGTCAGGTTCAACATACCCGTCACCAAGCTGGATGTAAGCTTCCCCCTTAGTTACCACCCATATATCTGCACAAATAGACACTGGCCAGCCTGGACACTCTATTGTCACATATGTTCTGTCTTCATGAACTGATCAAAACCCGTGAAGATCCGGGATGGAACTGATCTTCAGTAACCCATGCTTCTCGTAAGAGGCGACAAATCCCAATTGCGTATCCATTCTCATGCTGTTGATCACTGGATTGTATGGTCCAGACTCGATTATTTACAGACCGCACCATATAGCTGAGGAATATAGGAATATTGCTGAGTGTGGCGTAAAACTAAACTGACTCACTCACTCATGAACTGATCCTTATATGGATGTGTCGAATATATCGCAATCGTAATATGCAAAATATACTGAGAGAAACAACTAAGGGAGCACACAAAGTCTTCCGTTGTTCTCCTCCAGGTTTCTTTGCAATATTTCTATTGCATCGTGAGTGAAATTGGATGAATATGGTTTTTCCTTATTTGTCTCCCTCAGTATATTTTCAGATCAGCTGAAATATCTCATTTGTGGCCGAATCCATCGGCACCTTCAATGATCTTGTCAAAATTATAACAAACAAGTAGTATGTTAAGAGTACGTATTTGCATAATGATATTGAACAGTTATGTTAAAGATAATATCAAGCATTAGTTTTACTTCCCATCTTCATGCTTACTGTATATTTGTCGAGATATTGATATATTTCAATGAAAACTGTCCCATGTTTCGACTGTGGGTCTCTGCTACAGCTCCAACATGCTCGAGTCTTCAAGCAGTCAGCTGACGGGAAGACGTGGGTGCTCATCAACATGATGGACAGCGAGTTCTACGACAAAGGGACAACCTTGAAACTCCGCTTCTTCGGAAACCACCAGGGCTCCGACAAGGTGACGGGCACTGCCACGTTCTTTAACATGGGGGTAGACAAGAACGGCGTGGCCAAGAGAAGAAACAGTGAGTTCAAGCCGTTACGCCCTGTTATCTCGAACTCCATGAACTTGATACAAATCGACTGATTATCCAATACCAATCACTGCATGGGTGAGATAACACAATATCTCCCGGGAGATACACCTTCCTTCATCAACTATTTAAAGTACAGCGTTTTGATCAATTGTTTTGCAATGGATGCGATTTCATAATTTTATGATGGTCTCAAACGTCGGATTGATCACCATAATAAGGAATTATTTTTGTGCTAAATATTTGAGCCGGATGTGATTGTAGTACATAACATTTCACTCTGTCACGCCTTTGATATCAGGTATAGCCATTGTGACTTTGCATTTAATGTGTTTTATGATTTCGGAAATGTGTCCAAAACAGTACTACAGAATTTGGAACATATTTTGGATGTTCACGAAACTCTTTGTGTGTTAACCTATACAATCGTCGTATATGTTTCAACACCATGTACACTAATGTTGACAAATTCATACCCTACAAGCACGGGTAACTCGTGGGCCCCCTTGTCGTCATTTGTCCCGAGACAGTACGCCACGTGTGTGCAACCTCTCGTCATGCGTACTGAACCAGTACGCCACGTGTGTGCAACCTCTCGTCATATGTACCGAGACAGTACGCCACGTATGAGCACCTTCACGTCATGCGTACTGAACCAGGACACCACGTGTGTGCAACCTCTCGTCATGCGTACTGAACCAGTACAGCACGTGTGTGCAACCTCTCGTCATGCGTACTGAACCAATACGCCACGTGTGTGCAACCTCTCGTCATGTGCACTGAACCAGTAGGCCACGTGTGTGCAACCTCTCATCATATGACAGTACGCCACGAGCACAGTACGCCACGTATGCGAGGCACCTTCACGTCATGCGTACTGAACTCAGGACACCACGTGTGTGCAACCCTCGTCGTCATGCGTACTGAACCAGGTCGCAGGTCGCCACGTGTGTGCAACCTCTCGTCATGCGTACTGAACCAGGTCGCAACGTGTGTGCAACCTCTCGTCATGCGTAATGGACCAGTAGCTCACGTGTGTGCAACCTCTGGTCATATGTACCGAGACAGTATGCGCGTATGAGCAGCTTGTGTACGTACACATGAAATGGCTAAATCAATCCATTTGTTGCTGGCTTTGATCAGTCGATGATCATTATCGACCACCAATTCCATTTCTTGGTGTAATTAGTGCAGAATTGTAAAGACATCAGTGTTTGTACCAGGAAGCCAGTAAGTGTTGTAGCAAACCATTTTTGTGATAAAAATGTTGTTTGCACGAGTCGAACCGCGTTGGATGGAGACATTCAGGGACGCCTTCCTTCTTATTCATGAGGACATCACGCCATTTGTGGCAAACCGTTGCAAATTGTTGCACGTGTTAAAAGTTATACGGTCGAGTGCGATAAATGACTAAATGATTCATGATGTAATAAAAGGGAGGAATCAGGTTGTTCTGTAATAAAAAGTAGTTCCTCTAGTGTCAACATGACATTAAAAATCACTTGGGACTGTGCAGTTGATGTTGCCAAGTTACGTTTGAATTTTTTCTACACGTATGCATCTTACACAGTCACTTATTTTGAACAACAGGGATAATTAACAATAATTGGTCACCAGCATTACCATTACCATTACAGTGACCGTGTTATACAGCGTTCTAGTGATCTAGCGTCCGAGCCAAATGTATAAGACATTGTAATACGATGCTGTGCAACCAGGAGATACTGCACTGTCACCTTTACGTTATATTAATGCAGCGGACGGCACCAAGTACAACTATGACGATGTCCTGTACAAGTCCATCCTGTTCTACGAGGCTCAGAGATCCGGGAAACTCCCGGCGTCCAACAGGATTCCCTGGAGGGGGGACTCCGCCCTGGGGGACAAGGGGGCTAACGGGGAGGACCTCACTGGAGGATGGTATGACGGTAAGTGAGGCGCTTAAAGAGCATAGTCACATGACTTATCCCACTTTATAGGGTTCCATGAGGACACAACTATCTTATGGTTGTGTTTACGGCTTCGAGCAAACGTTCAATATCGGACATTAACATAATAATAATAATAATAATAATATTATTGCCTATTTATAGTGCGCACAAATCCACGCTCGTAAGCATGCTCATGGCGCTAAACCATAACCATAAGCCAGTAAGCAGCGGAACATGATGTGGGTATAAACCAACTTCAGTCGACCCTCAGCCGGTGTAATTTATGTTGTTGTTCTGCTGGAAAAAAATGTTTTGGATAAGCGATTTAGCTAAAGGCTGCCCTTGCGCGTTTGTCCATGAGTTGTCTCCCTTTAAATAGCGCCTGTTATTGACAGCCGGCGACCACGTCAAGTTCAACTTCCCCATGGCCTACAGCACCACCATCCTCACCTGGAGTCTCATCCACTGGAGAGATGCATACGAGGCGTCCGGTCAGCTGGACAACATGTACGACTGTATCAAGTGGGCCCTGGACTACCTCCTTAAGTGTCACACGGGGAAGGAGGAGTTGTATGTGCAGGTGGGAGGACTGGTCTGCTTTTGTTTTAAGGAGGTGGTAGGAAAGGCCAGTGTCGTTAGGCCAGGATAGATGTGCCCGGTGATGGAATATTCTTTGAACGTTTGATTGCCGATGGCCCAGGCACGATTGCCTTGAAGGGTACAATGCTACACATAGTGTGTAAACACTGCTGAAAACCCACAACTGTTCTTATACAATGACATTAAACGTGGTTTTAATGCATAATGACGGAAAGCGAACAAATAGTATGAACATATAGTAGTTCAGATACAGTATGTATCCAATTGAAAGATTTTTCGACGTTGTCTCTGGACGATTGCAAGCAATGAACTACGTAGTTTAGTCCGATACGTCGTACGACAATCAATAAACTAGTAATACTACGCAGCCCGAGTGACAAACCTATGACGATATTGAATATGTCAAAGAAGATGTAATACATGTGGGATATCTGGTCCTGGGTTTGTTAGGTATTCCCTCAATTGCTGATGAGATTTACAGCAAATCGCTCTCAATATTCCGCCCTAATGCTGTAATCTTCAGGTTGGCGACGGCAACACAGACCACAACTTCTGGGGAAGGCCTGAAGATATGACCATGGCAAGACCTTCCTACAAGATCGACGCCAGCAATCCCGGAAGTGATGTAGCTGGGGAAACCGCTGCCGCAATGGCTGCTGGATCGATCGCCTTCAAGACGAGAGGTCAGTTTATTGAATGACACCATGTGGCATTCCCAGCTGATGTCCAGACTAGACGACTGTTTGGAGTAATAAATCCAATTTCACTTCTGTATGAGACATCGGTCAACAACACCGACAAGATCTAACACCAGTTGTTTCGTCCATGCCTTTTTACAAATGTATTAGGAGTGTATGGCCTGAAATCATCTCACTCTTTCAACAGACCCCGCCTACTCCACGAAGCTGCTGAGTCACGCCACAGATCTGTACAACTTCGCCATGAAACACAAGGGGAAGTACAGCTCCAGCGTCGGAGCTGCCTCTAGTTTCTACCCGTGAGTATATCTTGAATACAAGGTTGGATAAGGAGGTTCGTGACCAGTGGCCTATGGCGACAAACACTTCAGTGTTAAACCTAGTTATTTTTTACTGGGGCCGATAGAAGACCCGGTTTTGATTCCCCACATTGGTACAATCTGTTCCCCGCCATGAAATTGCTGGAATATTACTAAAATCGACGTAAAAACAAACTCACTCACTCACCAGTTTGGACTAAGCAGTAGGGTAGGATCTGATACTGAATTGTATCAGTAAGCCGCACATTTAAGATGATTGCTTCAAAACATTCAATGACTCAAAGTTGCATTAAAGTAAATGTTTTTACAAGGCTGAGCAATTGAGGTAATTGTGACATACTTAAGCCCAGACCCATCTTTACATGAAAACATATGTGAACTATTATTTACAAATATATTTGATACTTTGTAAAGGATATGTTTTCCTCCAGTGAAGTATTTCTTGCCTCGTTATTATGTGGACCTGTGATGTTATGATTGTATGTCAGATCTACCAACACCACAGACGAGCATGCCTGGGCCGGCCTGTGGATGTACATGGCCACCAACAACAGCAAGTACCTCACTGACGCCAAGGAGTTTTACCAGAATGGGGCATGCTGGGGGATGTCTTGGGATGACAAACAGGCAGCCAATCAGGTGCAACTCCCAGCATTTCATATGTTCTTTAGATTCCATATCTTTTAATGAAACAGAGACAAGTTGGTACAGAGACTGACAGGGTGCGTGATGTTTAGGATATCACTTTATCAGTATAGTACAGATTCTAGTACGCCTCTTGGGTTGGGTCCCAACCGGGATTTGAACTCATGCTCTCAGAAGAAGGCACCTAAACACCAGCACACAAGCTGATCTTACCCTCTCAGCCACAGTGGCTTCCACCAAAATGGATGGCTGGAGACAATATGAGAACGTCTGGTACTAAGTAAAGTAGGAAATTGCATTGGACATTTTGGTAGGTGATGCATTAAACATTTCTATAATACAGTGGGGCGATAGAAAAAGTTCTGTTCAGTGTAAAGCTTGTATGACAGGGTTTCCAGTTTCCAGTCATTCTATTCTTCAAAGCCAGATAGTAATCGCGAAACAGATTCCCGAGTACGTAAGATGTAATAGAAATCATAAGAAAACTCTAAACATATGTGATGACACTAGTTTGACCTTCCCTATCCGCCATTTACAGATTTTTCATTAAAAGCAAGCGTGCCAGTAAGCAAGGTGTGCAAAGAACAGGACGTGTCATGTTGGGTAAATTCCTGTTTTAAGATGCACTTCCCGGTCATCGGGTGTTTTCAGTTGCTGTTCTACAAGTTTCTGGGAGACGACAAATACAAGCAGGACATTGAGGATACCTTCCAACACTACTGGTTCCCTGGACAGGTCATCAAGTACACACCCAAGGGCTTGGCATGGCGTCTTCAGTGGGGATCACTCAGATACGTCTGTAAGTCAAGTACATTAGTCGAGGCATTTCCCACTAGCCGTAGTTAAGACCCTTTGGTGAGACCGTAGTCCACTGCACAGAGTCGTCTTGTCGTGCTGTAGTTAAACCCTTTGGTGTGAACTGAGCGTAGTCCACACATGAGAGTCGTCTTGTATAACGTGCCTCAGTTTGGGACAGGTGTGAACTGAACTGGTGGAGGTCCTAGACACAGGGACTGTTGTCACTTGTATAACAAGGTGAATGATGATGACGTGAATGATTAGATGGTTGGTGGAGGTTCGTCAGAAGACTTAAAACTGGGATCTTGAACCATGACTGTCAGAGCGTACGTGTACAGTGTTTGACGTCTAACATTATCTGCAGTTCATTTGAAAAGCCTGGAGAGCGGAGGATACCTCAAACCAGAATGGGACTTAAAACTTTCCCTTGTCGAGTTGAGTCCAACAACTACCATCCCATGCTGTCCTTAAATCAATTTGTTTGTCCCAGGATTTGTGGGACTTGGTTGTCGTATGAGGCAACTAAATCAATTTGTTTGTACATTGTTTGATTGAATGATTTCAAACAGTTTGACCGTATGACCCAGACGTGCTTGTTTACTTACCTTTGTTCTATACATGGAGGATTGCTGAGTGTGACTTTAGAAAAACAGCAACCTCTAAGGAATCAATGTTCCAACATGCGATCAGTGTCTTATCAGTGTCTGTTGTACATGCTTCACGTCAGCTACTACATCCAGTCGATCTGTACGTGTTCAAGATGTACTGATCATGGAATGTCGCGTCACTAATAACCCACAGAAGAAGAAAACATGTATTTGCTTCTCCTCATTCAATTCAGACAAAATCCTCAAACAATATTTGGGCGGTGGGGTAGACTGGTGGTCAGACCGGTCGCTCGTCACGTTAAAGTGCTAGGTTCGAATCCCGAAACGATCGCGAGTACCATTCGTGCAGTCCCCCGGCTTTCTAGTGATATAATGTAATTGCCAAAGGCGGCATAAAATCACTGATTACTCTAATACATATACACAATGTTAATCATGAAGCTGTGATATAACACCAAGCTTTAAACACTATTTCAATTATAACTTGTCAACTTGATGTGGAAGTTCCGTCCGACGCCATGCCAACTGCAGATGTCACTTTGGTAAAACCAGCTAACACTTCTTTCGTACTGAAAAGTCAACGATCATTATCAGGGTGAAACAGTGATTAAGCCTGCAATAAACAGATCCTGTCACAGTGAAATGTGTCATTTTCAAATCCGTCATCATTTTTGTATTTGTCGAGTTTTTTGTATGTTTAATTCAAGGTTGTCAACACATGAAAATGAACAAGCGAAGTGTTCAGAATGTATCTCGTACTGTATAAACATTCCTCCCCCTCCATATCCGTCAGTCGCCAAAGTCTAACCTCCACACTCCCCGACTGACTGCAGCTACTCAATAACAACGCGGTGTGGATGAACGCAGCAGTTTTGAGGCTTGCAATGCACCTGGCCCCGATCAACAAAAACAAAGCCCAGATAAACTACAGAGTTACGACGACAGGTCGTAACGTTACGAACATTTTCAACACAGATCCGGGTTAGAAGTGGTCTTCAGCAACCCATGTTTTTGTCTTAATGGGTTGACACATGTCATCGTATCCCAATTGCGTAGATCGATGCTCATGCTGTTGATGACTGGATTGTCTGGTCCAGACCCGAATATTTACAGACCGACGCAATACAGCTGGAATACTGTTGAGTGCGGTATTAAACAGCAACCAAACGTTTTGTTGATCTGAGCCCTCTAGAAGTAAGTGACGATCTACACCCAACACACTAGTGGTACAGAAAACTGTGGAAGGATGGCAGGCCGAAATGAAGCAGCGACAGGAAGGACCAGAGCTTTATGAATTTAGTATGTGATATTTCGGTTTCATATAGGGAACGGATATGTTATCTACTGAATGGTGTATGTCAGAGAGATGACAAACCGTATCATTGCACATAAATCATTGCAATATCTTTACAGCCAATATGGCCCTGATCGCGTTGATGGCAGCCGACGAAGGTCTTTATCCCGATGAGTACCGGAAGTGGGCTGTTTCTCAGATCCATTACGCTCTCGGTGACACCGGCTTCAGCTACCTCATCGGATTTGGAGACACTGACTTTCCACACAGTCCCCATCACAGATCCAGGTAGGTGGTAGCTTCCCTACGGGAAAGGAATGTCTTGGTCAGCTTGTTAAAATCATTTATTCTGTCTTGGATGGAACTGTGGTAGCATATGTCTCAAAGAACACGAGTATTTTTAACAAAGTAGAAATAACAATTGATATAATGGTTACAAATATATATTCTCAGCCAGTGAACCATTGATACCTAGTTAGTTTAATTTCAAGTTACAATTTGTGAGTCGCAGTGCCATCACCTGCGCTTAACTTCCACAGCTTTTAACTGTAAGGCAATACTCAACAAAGTATACATGGAACACGTTCTAACCCCTACAACAGCCATAACATTTTCATTCCTTTGCACTTCCGTCATGCATCTTCATCTTTGAAACTGCCAGACTAAGTATATAAGTAGGTCTTTGACATGTTTCTTAGTTTGATGACATTCTACGACGAAATCAACAAAATTTGGTAGTCGTCGCTATGTTGGTAGATAATGTTGCAAACCTGACAGCAACTCTCTTCACATACCTCGCCTGATTTGTGTACGTATACTTTTAGTGCTGTATAGTTTAAACTCTTTTTAAAAAGTCATATCAATAAAGTGTAGGCTTGAGAGGCCTTTGTATATTGTTATAAAGACTCTCCTGCTTGGTTTAAACAACACACATCATTGTAACTAAGTCCTCTCCACACAGCTCCTGTCCATGGGCACCCGCTCCCTGTGGTCCGTTCGTCATGTCCAGCCATAAACCAAATGTCCATACCCTGTTCGGAGCTCTGGTAGGAGGACCTGATAGCAGTGACGGCTACAAGGACGACCGTTCCAACTACGTCAACAACGAGGTAGCCTGTGACTACAACGCCGGCTTCCAGGCAGCTATTGCAGGTGCGTGACACAAATACTCGAGGGAAGATTAAGACAGACAAGTACTGTCTTTCACCATAGCATACGAGTCTTCATTAAACCGTAGGCAAAGGAAAAGACAATATTGTTCCATTCCAGACCAGTCACTCTTTTCTCTTTGGCGCGATGTTCTAATCAGTGTACTAAAGCGAGTGACGTAGATTAATAACTCCACATGATTATAGTTTGAAAGGAAGCTTTAAAACTTTAAATTTGCGAATTGAGATAGTTACAAAAAGGGAAGAGTAGGTTTTGATTAAATTTGCAAAGTACTTGTTCACATTTTCTAAATATTGTGTGGGATCCACGGTTCAAGTGAACGAATGGTAGCTCAGGCCGCTTTAGTTGACACTATTTTAGCGGCACCTTTGTTTGTAGGTACAGGATATAAATGATGATGTAACTTTCTTTTTAATTTAGATTTTGTTCTGCTCTTTTGTTTGTTAGTTGTTTGTGGATGTTTATATGGAGATGGGGTTGTGGAGGGAATTTGTTTCTCTTTAGGTTTGTTTGGGTTGTGGGGGGTTTTTTGGTTCTTTTTCTTGTTTGTTCGGTTTTGTTTTTTGTTTGTTTGTTTTATTTTAGGGGTATAGATCGTTTTATGTTGTTTATATGTTTTCTATTGTATTTGTTTCTTTTGATTTGGAGTTATTTAGGTGATATTGTTTCTTGTGTTTTTGGTCTTAGCAGCGTGGGTGCGGGGGTGTCTGTTTATTGCACAACCCACACTATGCTGTCCAAATTGAAAACAAATGATACTTTGAGTAGTTTTTGCAGAATCATTTGGACATGAAAGTGGAACTTCCTCATTAGTTTGTATGCGTTATATCAGGTTTACCGGTCTGGTGTGGCAGGGACTTTTGGTTAAGAATACCTAGAATACCTAGTTAATTTCGTCAATATATATATTTGTTTTTGATGTTATTTTTTTGTAATCTTTTGCTTTGTTTCTACATTAAATTTTGGGCCAATTATTTTGTGGGCTAGTAACTTTCAGGCATAGCTAACCCGACTGGTTAGCACAATTTGGAAACTATTACGCACACTGCCTTGGATGCTTATTGTGACTCATGTATACAGAAGTTGATGTTTTAGCATATACACTGTTTCTGAACTGCGCTAATCCCGTCTGCCATATCTTTGCATACCACATATAATCCTATTTGAAAATGCACGTTTGATAAGTTATGAAAAAGTTAAAATATTTGCATGAATATGGGTAAAAATGAGTGAATGAAAGTATGAAAAATAGAAATATTTAATAAATCAACTGAGAATGAAATGTTTGTTATTTCAGGTCTCAAGTCTCTTGTCGTTAGAAAACTTCACCCAGAACAGACATCCGGTGGCTCAGCTTAGACGTTAGATCTGAATAAACATGAAACTATAATCATGTGTCGTATTTATTTGTGTTCAAGTATTTATATGTATTTTTATTATTTTTATATCAATATATATTGATATAGTGTACGTGTTGATGAGTTTGCCTGACATGAATCAGACAAACTCATCAACAATGTACACTAATACTGGAACACCTCAGGGCTGTGTCATCTCACCTGTGCTTTTCATTCTATATACTAACGTTTGTGTAAGCCGCAACCCTGATTGTCCGACAGTCAAATTTGCTGATGATGCGGCTTTGGTCGGTCTGATCAGAGGGACAGAAGCGTATTACAGAAACGACGTAAAGGATTCTGTACACTGGTGTGACGACAACTACCTGCAATTAAATGTTGCGAAAACAAAGGAACTCATCGTGGATTTTAGAAGCACTATGCTTGTTGAAATCAAGAGTGAATTCAGAAACTGTCGAAATTGTAGCACAGTACAAATATCTTGGCACTATTATTGACAATAAACTACAGTGGGGTCCAAACACTGATTATATTTTTAAGAAATGCCAGTAAAGATTGTATTTTATGCGCAAACTGAGATCTTTTAACGTGAGCAAAAGTGAATGCTGTTGATTTATCGTTGTTTTGTTGAAAGTATTTTAACTTTTTTCATTCAATGGTATGGTCCTCTTGATATCAAAAGCAAATCTTATCTTAACAAAATCATTTTAATTGCAAGAAAATCTCCGGGGTGTCTATTTCGGATTTACCCTGTCTTTATAATTCCCGCGTTCTCAAATGCAATTCTGAAGGTAAAATGGCTCCATTTATGTAATTTGCAATTTTGTATCAAAGTTTTTTCCCTGCTATGTTTGACCATTTTTTTTCATGCTATTTTTAATAAAGTTTTCTTGTTCAAAATTGTAGCATTTGTACATAATGTTCTGAACTAAACTTTTAAAATATGTTTCGACATACATGTATCTGTATATATGCAAAACAACTGTTTTGTTCAGAGTGAGTGAGTGAGTTTGGTTTTACGCTGCTTTTAGCAATAATCCAGCAGTATCACGGCGGGGAACACCAGAAACAGGTTGTTCAGATTAAGAATCAATATAAAATAGTTGTATTATTTAATTGAGTTGAGAGTCCAGAAATTGCACGTGATATTTACATCATATACATGATATCTTCAGGTTTGTCCATTTTTACTCACTCACTCAGTTTACTCATTGCACCTGAACAAGATAAGTCAGTCAGAAAGATTGCTATATTTATAATCATCCATGAAATTAACACGTACATTTGCAGTTCCAAAGGAATATCAAAAATGATTTTGTCTTCACTATACACTTTTAGCTGTATTTGAATTTCCTCCAGTCTGTCGTCCTAGAGTAGATAGTGCATGGACTTGGTATCAAATGTGTACTTCTGTGTGTGTGCAGCATAGCCAGACAAGTTAGATGTTCTGTGCTCATTGTCCACACCTTGTGCCTCGAAGAGAGGAGATCGAAAGACCTTTCACAAGCCACACTGTCAACTGGTATGGTCATGAACACTGTCAGATCAAGTTACCATATGATCTTTGGGATGAGAGAATGGTTCATTATATAGCATATGTTCATTGGGTTCATAGTTCCAAAAATATAGTCGATAGTTTATATAATACTATTTTTGTTTGCACCAGTCAATGTTTGATTGTGTATTCATCGTTTTGTATGTTATTCTCTATTTTGTTTATCCTGCCCGGAGTCTAACCTGGTGTCAAGTGGATTGACTCCTCCTTCTAATTAAAAAGTCTTTTGTTCGTTAATTATCATTAGGTATTGCACACTATGCCTTCAGTTCATACGGTTCGCGGTTGTCTATATCATTGTCCTGGATTCCTTATTTTAGGACTAATTAATGGTTGTTGTAATCATATGTAATTAGGTGTATCATTCTGGTACCGATCATCTGTCAGATTGGCTGCCCGCAATCTTTGCGTCTTTAATTGAGGTGTGGATTTCAGGGCTGCGGTGAGGGTATATCACTCATTCTCAAAAATGGGGTGTAAATGCTGTCGCCGCCACGCTTCTCTTAAACTAATTAGCAAATGTTATTTTCAGTGTGGCTGAATAATGGTACCAACTGCCCAACATACATCATACATTAACAGTTCAAATAACCCCCAAAGAGAATATTTGTTACAGCTAAGGTAATAGGTCAGTTTGAAATGTTTGTTACTGATGCCGGTAGCAAAACCTTACTTTGCAGTTTACTTAACGCACCTTGGTATACAAATACCTGGATATTAGTACCTTAGGACATTGATATTGGTCAAAAGTTTATTTTCTGAAAATTGTTAGGCCAATGCATTCTTTTTAGATAAATGAATTTGGTCTAATGCCATGTCGCCAGTTTTCAGGAAATGACCATGACTAATTTTCAGCTAGACACGTGCATGTGTAGAACAAAGCATAATCTCACCCATTCACTTTGAATGAATACAATTATCTTTACGTTAATGGTACTTGTCATTATTTGGGGCTTAGAATATCTCTCTGCATAACATATCTCAATACACAGAAAATATTCCAAGCGTAGAAATAAGAGTGAAATGTCCGTTACCACCGCCAAGTTAGCGAATTGTGCTCTTTTTGACATCGTTTGAGTTACATTTAGAACACGAAGTATGCCAGATGGGAAAAGGAAACATATCCAAAGCTTGTGTGTGGTTAATGGTAACTTAATGCTTTATTTTGCAAGAGTATGTAATCTCCGTTACATAGCTTGTGAAGTTCTGATACTATTTTTAAATATCACGTCACTCCTATCATCTGGAAAATCAAAGAGGATGCATACAATCACCAAAGACGTAAAGTTGAGAGTCATCGGAAATAGGAAGTAATGATGTAGCGAACATTTCATTTCTAAATATAATATCGACACCATAACTTACTGTTTAGTTATTTGTCAAGTTTCGGAGTTTACAAAATAATGTCACTCTGTATTTGATAAGACAGACTTACAATTGGGTAATAGAAACATTACCATAACATCAATAACAACCACAAGGAACATTCCATCCTAGTAATAGATATTTCTGTCGCTTCGATTGAATCAAAGTTGATCTACAGTCCTATTATTTCCAGAATTTGTGTTGATAGTCTCATGTTAAATAATTACAGTACGAATTATATAAAATTAATACCCAAAAAATATTGAATGATGATAGGTAGATTTGAGTCTGCCTTTAAACAGTTAATATTCATAAAGATATGTAGATTTTAGTTTGCAAAATAAATTGCTCCCAAACATACATATTATATCTTTATATGATTGTATTCAGTTTTTAATATCTTGAAATCTGCCCAGTTTAAGTCTATCTGAGGACAAGACAGTGTTTCTGAAGATATGACATTGTCTGAAATGTTCATTACTTATATAGTGGTTTATATCTAGTGGTTGGAAGACTATTAAACCATGTTTCCCCCTTGAATAGACGTTCATATTTTATGTTTGAACTTTCAGAGGATTTGTCACTTCATGGCATTTTGTTTCATGTGTATCCGGCTTTCCTAAAGTTTGCTTTCACACAGTTTAACCAATTTTTCCAAGTTCAGTATGTTCTATCCAGCACTGTACTGGCTGGGGATTAGTTAGTATTCCTAGCAAGAACACAGTTACAGAGTTAAGGAAACGTGTACTCACAGGCTTGGTAATAAGGGCCCTTGATATAACGAAAATTTCAGTGTTAGGATTCTCTACGAAGGTACCTATCTTGTTAGCTTGTATATTCAAAAGCCTTCAGCTCTTGTAGAATTCCCGTTGGTTTTAAGCAGCCCAATATGTTACCTTGGCAAAGGAATGATTTCACTCAAATATAAATGGTTGATTTTTCAATATTTTTGTGAGCCAGTTGCGATATGACACTCTAAAGAGTGTTATATCAATACTTTGATGTATAAAGATAATTTGTAAAAAATTTCTAGGGGAGCAGCTACCTACGGCCCTGGTCAATTGTGTTGTTTTATGTTTTCTTGACCTTTATGTCATTTTTAATATTTGTCTATGTGGTCACTTTAAAATATGAAAAGAATTCCCTAGATGTAAGAAAGTATTGTCATTATGGTCATTGTCAAGGGAATCAATCAAACGCTAAAACCACAATACGAATCAAAGCATACTTTGTAACAACAAGTATTGAACACGTATGTATACGTCTGAATTGGCGCTACAGAGGAAGTGGAATGACAAAGAGCATTACTTCAGCAAACACAGTTCACCAGAAGCTCTTCACATTTTCCGATGATGAAAGACTCTATATGACCTAGTAAACTATAAACAAGTTCCTGCAACTAAACCTCGGTCATTAGTTTCCAAACGTTATTATTACAAACAAATACAGGTGTTTATCCTAGAAAATTGGGAGGTCCATCCAAACATTTTAATAGTAATCCAAATAATGACGGGTAAATACTAATCAGTCACAAATTATTACTGAATATCGGTTTATTAACTTTAAATGTGCGTTTAAGGGAGCCAACTACCTTCAATAATAATAGAAGTAGAAAACGTATATTCTCATAAATCCCTTGGTCATCTTCCGGCTCAGGGAACATAAATAAACATACAGGGTACATCAACCCATGTCCCCCTCGTGACCATTGTCTGTCAGATCATTACATAATGTACATTGTCTGTCAGATCATTACGTAATGTACATTGTCTGTCAGATCAATACATCATGTACATTGTCTGTCAGATCATTACGTAATGTACATTGTCTGTCAGATCATTACGTAATGTACACTGTCTGTCAGATCATTACGTAATGTACATTGTCTGTCAGATCATTACGTAATGTACACTGTCTGTCAGTTCATTACGTAATGTACATTGTCTGTCAGATCTAACAATGCTACTCCATCTCCTACCGCCCATACACAAGTGGAGGTCAGATAATCCCCCCAAGTCTACTTTCAGATAATAACCAACATTGCGAGATTGGAATTAACTAACTCAGTAGAACTAGAACCTTTAGTCACATGACCAGGAGCATGTTGGTGTT